CACCTGGCCTGGCCGTGCCGACACAGGGTCCACAACAATCGGGTGTGTGACGCAACGGCGCAGAAGGGGAAGGGGGAGGCGAGGTGTTTTCGTAAATTTCACTTTACGACGCTCCTATTCGTCCGATTTGCATGATTGTCACGGCGTTGGATTCGGGAAGCATGTCGCCATCGCGATTTAAGATTACAATTTTAATTTTTTTCTTCGAAATTCGAGAAGTATTTTCAAATTCGAATTTTTGCTAGATTTTTGGGAAAAGGGCTTCGTAGCGTAAATTCTATTGCAAAAAGGCATCAAATGCCGTTTACAGATCGAAAATCGAACCATTGGTTCAGACGTTATCAGTAAAGTAAATTTTACTTATTTTGGTGCTGCCGTGGTGGCTACAAATTGTACTAGTGTCGGAACATTTAACCTTAAAAGCTGCACACATTTTTTTTAAAAGTTTTTATAAATTTAGATTTTAGAATAATGTGCATGTCTTATGTTCGTTGAAATGTCTGATTTTATGGTAAAAAAAATCGGCGTCTTCCTACTATTCCTGTATAACGGTATCTTTTTTTCCCCTGTATTCATAGGTATATGCGGTGTAATTTACGTAGGATGGAGAAAGTTATGTAATGCTGCAGAAAATCGATTTCGAGATTTGAACGTTAATAGGTTTTGGGGTCTCCAGATACCGAAAAAGTGCTATTTTCAAAACGTCCGTCTGGTATTAACGTAGTAGAAACCCCTGTCCATTAGGCCTGAGCCGAAGCTCTGGATTTTGAAAATCATTCATTGGTTTCTAGGGGTACTTTACATGAAGCCTCTTGGACATTTTCAAAAATTTTCTCAATAATTGCTCACATTATTTTCTTTTAATTTCTTCTAGGAATATGGTAAAATATACTTATAAAGGTGGCATAGATCTGACATGAACTGAATTATTGAAAAATCAAAAGTATACTTTTTTTTCGGTGTCTTTCTACAACTACAAAATGAAAGAGATTTTTCCTTGAAATAAAATTTGTTCTCCTTAGTGAATTCTTTCATTAAGGTCATGTGCTTTTTATTTTCTTTTTTTTAAAATTTCAGTAGTTTTCGAACAATATGTGAAATTTAAAAAAATTACAAATACAAGATTTTCTCAAAAAAAAGCCCCAAATTTTTCTTTTAACTATTGGTAGGGATTGTACTAAATGCAATCTATAAGATGACATAAACACCATATTGCTCTATTCTTTTGTTTTTTCAATAATTACAAAAACGTATTTTTTTCACTTGTCTCTCAAGTCGTTTATATTTACACTATCGATGATTTGTTCACATTAATATATTTATGAGAACATGCTTTAAATGTCAAATAAAGCTTCTCAAACAGTTTTTTTGTGATAACTAGCTCAACATTTCGCAATTTTAGAAACGCTCAAACCCTATATTCTCAAAAAAGGCTCCAAATTTATTCTTCAAACAGATAGTGCTAATTGCACCAAAAATTAAACTAATGTATTTTTTTTAAAGATCTCCCACGCCGGTAATATGACTATTTTCAGCACTTTGTAAACATTATTGTACTTGTTAAAGATCTTCAAAAGAAGTTTCTCGGAAACTCAAAAATTGCCTGTGGAAAAATGCATCAAATTGAGAATTTAATGTAGAGCATTTTCTTAAAAACGGCTCCAAATGTTTCAAAGAAAATTGCCATTTATGACGAGGTTTTATTGTTCTTTAACCTATCAAAGTCCAAACGTAAAATAAATAATTTTTAAATATTTTATTGTTCAAAATATGTCAAATAACATTGAATAACATGATTTTCATTGACACATTAGTAATTAAAAAATTAAAAACATTAGGGGGTGTCAGTTGACATTGTTCACTACGAATACAGGTTACCTGAAAATTAGTTCTATTTTAGCATAAAAGTACCGTAAAGAAAATCGTACATTTGTGTGAGATAATCAAACCATCAATGCACATGTAAACCCACTGCATCGTTTCCAGATATCTCTTGTGGCAGACGACGCTTCACGCACAGCCTCTGGGAACAACATTCCTGTTTATATGCACCTGGCACAGCTCCTAATCACACTCAGCGGGAATTCTTGATGAACCTGTCCAACATGCTGAATTTCTATTAGGATGCTTTCCATATTTTCAACATATACTTGCACAATATTTCTTCGAAATTCACAATAAGTCAAGTTATTTTCTGTACCAATTTTTCTCAACATGAGCCAGACATTTTGACATTGCTGCATCTAGTGCAAAGGCAAAAATTATTTGAACGATATAGATATTCACATTTTTCTACAAAATTGTCTCTTTAAATACTTGGATACACTAGATACTTGGTCATTTTGCACATCTGAGTTGGTCTCCCAAAACATTCTAATATTTAATAGAATCATATTCCCCGTTACAAATATTGCAATGTACGGTATACCTTCATCTCAACCGTATCAATGTCAAGAACATGATTCCTCTGCATATCATATAGCTCACATATTTCATTTATTATATTTTCATTGTACAGAAGTTCAAAATATTGATTCAATATGAGCTCGCCATCATATTTTCCAAAATTTTCATCTTTATTACCACATAGTAAACGAGAAAAAAGACAATCATCATCAAACCCCTTTTGATTACAACTTTTATTTGAATATTTCATTTTCTTAGTTTTTATGGAGGAGCAAGAACTTTGTCCTTTGTTGAGAGAATTGGTTGATTAGATTCATCAGATGCTGAGGTCAGATTTATGTCTTCTTTCGATCTCAACATTATTCACATCAGGAGTATTCTCATCCCCACTTTCTTTGTCCATGAGAAGTCCATCTTCCGAAGAAAAAATCATGATGTCATTATTAAGGAAGAAAACCTGTATCTTTAATATTTTAGTTGTAGGAAGACTACGAAAAAATTTTGAATTTTTGTAATTTTCTAAAAATCAGAGTTTTCAACAAACATCGAGACCCACACCATTCTCTTAATAAATACTATAATACTTAAATAATCTCTTAACACTATCCAACTACAAAATTTAATAAAAAGCAATCAACACATTTTATTCAAAAATTGGAAATTGTCCCAGAGAAAAAAATATTCTCAAAAACTGCTCCTAACTTTACCTTTAATTTTTTTACACTGATATAATAAGAGACGATAAAAAATATTGTGCTAGTCATATTGTCAGATATTGCTCGTTTTTTTGAAGTGGATTTTGTAAATTGCAATTGCAATATATGCATAAACTACTCGTTTTTCAAAAAATTTACATGACGTTTTTTGAAGAGCCTATTTTTACAACATTCTTTGTCTGAGACAAAACTTCAATTTGGAAGGGTTTTTTTCTTCTTTCTCTTTTTATTATTATTATTATTATTATTATTATTATTATTATTATTATTATTATTATTATTATTATCATCATCATCATCATTATCATTTTAATTTTTGACAAATTGGGGATGTGAACGAAAATAAGACCTGCATTGTTCTCTTAAAACTCTTCTCTTTAGCCCTATTCAATAAAAAAATTTAATCAAAACATTTTGGAGGCTTTTTTTCATGTAAAGTACCCCCCAAAATTAAAATATCACTTTTCAAAACCCGAGACATCAGATAGTACAATTGTGAATTATCAATTTAGGAGAAAATTGGCTGAACGGTTTATACGCTTGCATGGTAGGCGGGCGAGCGGGCGGGCGTTTTGCCGTCAATCGATTTTTCGGTAAGAATGACGCACAAAACATGAATTCTGGCTACACCACATGTTAGAAGAATTTTATTTCTGTGTTTAGCAAACTGGATTTATCCAACTTTTCCTTACCAGGGCCCAGCAATAATGAGTTTTTATGTCGAAAATTCGCCGTTTTCCAGCGAACGATTACAATACTTTTTCTTACGTCAGTAAGTGCGGAAAAGTAAAAATTGAAAGAAATGTAAATTTTCTTAATTCTGCAACGATATTACATACTCGTATTTACTCATTATGCCCAGTTTCAAAAGTAGATAAATCAGCAAATTAATTCTGTAAATATACAGTACCCAAGAGACTGATATACTGACTCCTCGGATACTCCAGGAAGAAAGAGCCTAAATAAGTTCATAAGTTATTGATATGCAAATCATGGAGGTTCTAGAGGCAAGACAGTAAAATTTTCTTGACCCAACAGTCATTGGCAAAGACAGTACATCCAAGTGGCATTCTTTTTTTCCACTAGTTTTCAATTCATTCCCCATTTAGATTTATTACAATCAAAATATATCAATAAAAATCATTATAAGAACAAAACTGAAGACAAATAAGGAACTTTGAAAATGTATGCTGATGACAATATTTTTCTAAAAGTGCTGATATGTTTACATAAATGCAGACATATGATAAACCTACTTAAGAATGTAAGTGCAAAAGTGAAAAATCAATATTGCCATTTCACCAAAAATAACAGTAATTAATGTCAGAGGATAGAGGAGTATATAATTGCTAAAAGAGATATGATCAAACAAGTAAGCGACAATAAAATTGAATTTAATTACCACAAGTGGAATAATAAGCCCTTTACCCACAAGTTCGATTGATTATTTCATTTTTCCATACATGACAACTGCTATGGCCATTGGTTCTATAAATATAGTCCATGATTTTATTACGGGAGATGGCAATGTTTTTCCCATGCTGGTTTCTGAGATCTGGCACTGACCTACCATTCGGCTTGCGATGATTTCCCCAATAGCATAATTGTTTTAGGAAATGGTTAATGAGAAACGAATATTTCCCTTCATCCAACATGAGTGAGGAAATTTGTTGTAGAGCGATAATAATTTTCAATACATTTTGAGCACTTCATCAACAAACATTTTACATGTTATAATAAACAACTAAGGCAAGTGAAAAAATAAAGGCAGAAAAACTAAAGGTGATTATAGTTTGGAAGAACTTTTGAAAACATCATGCTTTACTGAATAAGATGGAAATAAGCATAGTTACAATAAATGAAAATATAATGACTCACCCTCTTTCTGGCATGTTCCAAACATAAAGGCAGTTCATGACACACATCAAATACAGGAACACAGCACTGAGTATTGTCAGAAAACTTTGCAGTACAGTGCTCATATAACAATTGGTCCACATTGTACATAATATGACGAACACAATGTTGTGTGCACGGAAGTGCCAGATTAGAACATGCATCTGATTCACCCTTGCGATAGCTACAAACCCGTTTAACAAGCATTGTCAGCTTAGATCTGCAAAAAACAAAAGGTAATACGTAAATCTAGCAAATTTAAACACAAAATTTAATGATAGCAGTAATATCTCATATACAATATCAACAAAAAATGTACAAATGTAAAAGATAACTGCATCAACATTGGTGGGTATTCCTGAAGTACATTAGGAAAGTGCACAAACAGAAAACAGCCATTGGCACTTTCAAACCATTACCTATTGTGTTTTGACTGACGCCAATGTCGTCTCCCTGCTTGAAGAAGTAAAGCTGACTGTGTAGGATGTGTGCGTGCTGACTGTACAAGAGCACCAACCAAAACACCTGCATGGTGTACAGGCATACCAGCCCACATCTGTCCCAACTTTCGACGCATTTCTGAACGCAACTGTGCCAAACGTCCTTCTCTTTGTCCTTCACTATCACTAGTACCACACACACCTGGCTCTCCACAGCCTGAGAACCAATGCCGTTGAAAAATACTTGTCTCTTCTTCAAGATCACTTTCCTCACTATCTGAAACCTCCACTCCTGCAACAGTGTTTTTTCTCTAAATAACATGTAACATATCTATTATTAAAATAAGTTTCATCTGAAATTGAAATAACACTCTACCTAATGGAAAAAGATCCTGTTTGTAGTCCAAGAGAGAATTATGAGCTACCTGCACTTGCTGCAATTTCTCATCCAAATTCTCTTGAAGAAACTTTGGCAAAGGTCTCCTCTGCTGCCTTTTGGAAGGCAGCATTATCACATTAGTTTGCGAAGGACTTGTGGCTTGTGTTTTGTGCCATGAAGTACATGATACACTATTCGGCTCCTTTTTAATAGTTACATCAGAACCAAGTCCTAACAATTGTTCTTCCAGAAGGCTACGCTCACGTCTTTTAGCACTTAGCACAGCTTCCTGACAAGGACTAGATGATCTCACCTTCTTGTGTTTTCCAACAACTTTATTGTGGGATACCTTTGTGTGGAGTTTACTAATGGTTTTAGAATTTTCATCATCCAAACCTCTATGATCAGTAACTCTATTCCCTGTAGCCAATTGGTCTGTAATAGGAGAGGTCACAGATGGTAAAAGTCTTGCCATTTTCACATTTTCCACTTTCACCTTTGTTTCACCTATATCAGTCACTGGGAGTTTTGAATTCCTTCCTGTCACTTGACAAATTCTGTTTATAGCACTACACTTCTTAGTATATGAATTACTGACACTAGACTTTTGATAAAGTCGTAGTGCTTGAGGTTCAGGTTCACTAAAAGTATATGGGTCATCAATAACATGTTCTTCTTTCAAAGATGCTCCATTTTTAAGAAGAGCTTTCAACTTGTCAGAAAACTTCACTCTGTCATCAACTAGCATGGATGAAGGGGTAGTAATATCATCTTTATTTGGAACCATTTTGCCTTTTCTTATCTTGTGTTCTTTTTTGGTAGCCATACCATCAGCCACTTGGGCATGGCCGTTGCAGTACCTGTAATTACAAATAACAATACTTGTTTCATTTAATTAACAATGATATTAACATAAAGAACAACCAAAAGTTCTCAATATTTATAAATTAGGAGAAAAGGACAGAATATCATGAACTAAATTTCTGTTAGCATGTAACTTAGCAAACATCCATTTTTGAAGTGCTTTGCATTACCCTTCATCAGAATTATGTAGTTAAATTTATTTTTACATTTTTTAGATAAAACTCCCTCAGATACAAGTAGTAGTTATAATACATCTTACTTAAAAATTACTTTTAAAAGAACAATGATATTCAAGATATTCCGGGTAACCTTAAAAGTCAAACTAATTTTTGGAAGTAAAATAATTTAATAGATTTGGAATTGATTCACGTACAATTATTCAACATGCAAATTTTAAATAAAATGACCTGCTCATTTCCAACATCAATCGGCCGAAATTACACCTCTACAAAATAAATCCATTTCCAGCCAAACACATTTCAACAACAATCTGTCATAAATTCTTCAGCTGAGTGTTGCAGTCCAAATTTCACAAAAATGGATTTCAGGAGAAGAATACATCTGAAGCAAAAAGACAAACTGCATAAAAATTAGGAAATTTAACACCACAATTGCACAATACATGAAATTTAGATCCTAAAATACTAATTTCTTGCTCTTTTCATTGTTCTACACATTAATGCCATGATGTATCGACATAGTACATATCTTGTAGTGTAATTGTGTCTAAAATATATTATTACCACAGCCAATAGTGTAATCTACCCATATTTTACCTAAATTTTGAGTTCTAAATAACAGAAAACACAAGAGAGGAAGAAAGACAGTAAGATCAGCACAATTGGTATAACAAACAAAACTATTTTACCATTTACTTCATCAATATGTAACACAATAATCATTATATTTGTAATATGAACACAAAAGGAAACAAAAAGCAATACAGTAACAAATGATGTACATGTGTGTTTGTGTGACATGAAACATATGAATGAAAACAAACATTTAGGACGAAATTTAATACATTATTCTGTTTCACATCAATCACACACCTTCTTTCTCCTATAAAAACGTTATTATTAATCTTTTAAAAAAATGGACTTTTTCTTCTCAATTTTACTGTTTATTATTTAAACTTTTAATGAACACATTACCTTTAATTGACTCTTACTCCCAAATACATTTTCTCTTCATTTTGATGTGGGATATATTTTCTTCTCTGATGTCCACCATTCGTAATGACTCAAAAACAATATTGCCATTTCACCTACCAATGATCTAGTGGCATACTGCTGTACAAACATATTCAGCTTCCTTTCATCATTCTCCATTGCCTGAGAAACAAATGAAATCTTACAGATTATACAATAAAAAACTGAGAAAGAAGAGGGAAAATAATTAATGTGGCCTCTGTATCATTCCAGAATTTTATTCATTTATAAAATAAACTAAAATACTCACATATCTCTAAGCAAAGAGATTTAACAGGATGATTCTATTTTTAACTCTTATCTTTTCCCACATTGAAAGAATATATAATTATTAACCCTGGAAGTACAAAAAAGTTATGAAATACTTAAATTTACAAGAATGTTAATTTCTACTCTCTTCTAATTTTACATTGAATGGCCATAATAACAAAAAACTAGAACAGGAAACGACTAAAAATTACATTTTATAGTTAATGAAAACTCAAGATGTCTCATAGCACATGTAAACTTAGACAAGAAAATAGCAACAGGAAAGTTCTAATTATGTTTACAGATATAAGTTCTATAAATAATTACAACCAGATAGCTTAACATTTGGTTATTGTTATACAAGATTCATTAAATGACAATAGTTAAGAAATGGTAAAAAGTGTTTACGTTATTATTGAAAGTTGAAATGCTTGGCAAGATAGGTTTTCATTAGAATTGAAGGAAATTTTACTCATTAACAATTACAAGCACATTCATTCACATTACACTTACTAATGACAATAGTTTAGACCTTTAGCAATAAACAAAGAACAAAGTAGAATTCTCTCACATCTGATGTACAAGAAATTTCTATGTGTGATGAGAACGGCAATCAATCTACACTCAAAGTAAATTTTAATATGTAGCAAGCAGATTAGGAATAATACAATTTTCTCCATGTCAAACATTGGGATATGGTTAGCATTAAAACATGCATTTCCTTTGCTAATGAGTGTGAAAAAGCATTGTATGATGTACTTCAAAAAGAATCAAAATACAAGTTACACATAAACAATTGAACTTAACATGCCAAATCTACTGTCAGTTGAAATCACTGACCAATATGTTCATGTACCATTAAATTATTGGAGAAATAATAGCACCAATTATCATATCTTTAATAACAATTTTGTTTGATAAAGGTGTGTACGTGCGACAAATATTAAAATAAAGAAACACATTAAAAGTAAAACAAACCATCACTTTGGTGATCCTATTTTACTACTGATATATAACATTACAGCGTTTCATATTAATAATAACTCAAGTAACCGTCTAAAAAAAAGAAAAAAAAAAAACCTTTACAGAACACGCGAGAAAATATGTATTTACGATGAACAACTATTTTAGGTTAGGTTGGCATTGACAATCCTTCATGTTATTCAAATGAATGTGTAGAAGTACTACTATAACCATGCTTAAAATAAGACGGAAGATTTGGTGTATATATATTATTGTTACTAGCAATAGGAATTTCGCAGGATAACAAAAAAGAAAAACCTTTTAATATACTAATAACTACCAAGCAACCGTAGTACTAGAGGTACCACTTACTAGCATGTACAATACACGTAAGAACTTTGTTAATTGTTTGACACTTGCTCTACATTCCAAAATACAAAATAAAATCAATAAATTAAGGGAATCAACAAAAATTAATTGGAGTTTCACATATTCTAATACAACACAAGACTATTGTCAGAAATTTTCATCAAAATGGCTGCCGCGTAGGGATCTGTTACAATTGTTTATTTAAAAAATCCAACACTCTGGATGTTCAGGCCGAAATCTCCAACAAATATATTAATTTTAATGCATAACAATATTAATTCAATTATTTTCAACTCAGCAAATATTCTTTATTGCCTTAATTAACCCAAAGCTGAGCAAATTACATACATCGCACACAATGCTTGTGGTGCCCAGTCACATATCAATTAAAATTTAAAGTTTATGTACAATCATGAAGCCAGAGTACCGCATATCATTTTCAAAAGCTTCTCTAGATAAATTAAGCATTTCCCGGGAAGAACACTAAAGGGATACTCGTGTGGACTTCCTCAAAGGAAGTTGCACTATATTTCCAGCTTCGTTCAAGAAGAAAGAACGAACGCAGATAAGATAGATTGCTACTTACTACAATCAAAGAGTATAAGGCTACGATCGTTGTCACGAGTCCGTGGTGCGAGTCGTACTAAGAAATTAGTCTTCGAATTGTTAGTTAATTGTTTAAAGCGGCAATTAAAATAAATTATAATAGAAACGTCACCTTGGCTTGATAAGTGAATAAGCACTTGCATGCATTATTGACGTTATCTGAATGGGACGTCAGTTATTGCCAAAGTAATTTTCTCGAGAAAACCAATAAGAATTTAAAAAATAATATGTTTGTTAATTTTCTCACAATTTATGCTCTCTTTGAGCAAAATGAGATTACGGAAAACATTTCACTCTTTTCATAAGCTTTCATAAGTAGGCTATGGGCTGCATTTTGCCATTAAATTAAAACACGCAAATCATAATATTTCTTTTGTAGATAAAATTTAATTTGAAGGCATTTCCTTGACCTGCTAGAACCAATATTTAACATTATCTTTATGAGTGTATTGTTATTGTATTATTTGGACATTCGAGGTTTATTCCAGCAGCAGTCAGGAACACTCCCGAACTACTCTGCGCATGCGCAGTGTAGTATTGCCCAGGGCTCGTTTTGGCATTGGCCGTTCCAGTAGCAGCAGGAATGTGAATGTGATTGGGAGTTGGGCGTTCCATCAGGGTTGCTGATTAGTTTGAAACCAGTCAGAAACTGTCAGCATCAATTCGTACACTCTCCCTCAAACTAGAAATCCGCACATCCCTATTTCGGACTTCGAGTTCCCGCCCCGCCTAAGTTTGGCGACGCGCCATTTACATTTCCGCCAGGTTTCAGCAGAGTGGTTTTGTGTTCCGCTCTATATATTTTGACCCTGCTTTGTTTTACATTTAATTGATTCTTGGTTTTTGCTGACTTCACTTTCTTTCGGATTTTTCTCGTGGATATTGGCATTTGACCCTGCTTTATTTTAGGTTTTATTGATTCTTGGATTTTGGTGACTTAGCTATCTTTCGGATTTTCTTGTGGATATTGGAACTTCATATTTGTTTCTTTTTTGTGGTAGTAGTAAGGAAAGTAATTTTAAGGAAATACCTTGTACTGTGACTTACTAAATATATATGTAGTTATTTACCATTCTGTATTGTTAGCGTTATAGCTCTTTTAAAAAAATATAATAAACCGAAATCCAAAAGAATAATCAAAAACTATAGCACAAGTCTCAGTTTAACAGGTTCAGGATCCGTATATAATAGTGAGGGCAAGAAAGTAATAAGCGAGCAAATACCAGGAACTGACCAGTACCAGGTCACCGATTTTTGCAAGCGATACGAAAATGATGACACCTGGCGGATAATTCTGCAACTACCGATGAAACGAAACCAACGGCACCTAGACTGATTTTTGTACTTACTTGTCCAGCAGATCCCAAACCGGTACTCTTATCTGTATAGTTTGCACTCGCGCTGCGCGAGTCGCGCGTGCGCAGAGTGAGAGTTTGTAAAGCTCATTGTTTTCTGGAACAAATTTACGAACTGTTCAGTATACTATTTCTATCATGAAGATAAAAGTGAAATTAGAGCAGTAAAATCTAGTATTTATTAAGCATGTTGACATTACACAATTATTTAATTTCAATAGTATTAACATTTTTGTATTAAAAAAATACCATAACCACAGAATACGGTTCCAAAAGCAACTTTGCTTGCTACCAACAAAACATGCCAAATTACTGTGACTACCATGGATTACTACTATGCTACAAAGCAATTTATGTGAACAGTGCTTGAAAACCTTACCGCACTTTTGTACAGGTAAAACAAATAGTTACTGTACAATTTGTAAAAGAGCCATTTTATTTTGCGAGTAGGAAATGTAGCGTCATGAGCGAGAGAGGTCGAGGGCCCCAATCCTATGAGCAAAATAAAATAACTTCCACCCTGTGATTTTAAAGATCTCCACACACGGGCCAATTTGTTGGACCGACCGTCGGGATAATGAAATTGGATTGCACTCTCGTCTTCACACTGTCCGACCCAGAGAGTATATATCCGACCAACAATCCGAATTTTCAGTAACACTCCGAATTTGGAGAAGGCAATCTATGCAAGACAGTGCGAGCACAGTGATTCCCGACCTCGAAAATCTGACCAAAATAAAATAAAAATCCTATTTAGAGATGTATATGTTCACAGTAGTTTACCCATACAGAGTTAAAATGCAGGTGGGGAACACATCTTTTGTATTAGTTTTCAGAGCCCAGTTCGAAAGCTAACCACGTGCAGCCATGTTCTATTACAGCAGCGAAAAATACCATCAGATCATTAACGTTTTTGACGAAGTTACTGTAAAAATATAGCACAATATAAATTAAAAGATATCCAAATGAATACTGAATATTATGTTAATTACTGAAGTGAAAAAATGAATAAAAAATTCGAATAAAAAACTCATAGTAGGCCTACATAATAATTCTAAGGGCAAAATTGCAATTTTCTTGTACTTAGTATATATTACCTTTCAAAATCGCATATTTACTGCAACTAGTAACTGCGTTGCTGGCACGTATTTGAATAAAAAAGTTTTTAAACTGATTAATAATGATTTTCTCATGATATCGTATGTAATTTCTACAATTTATAAATAAAAACAGTTGCTTTTCCTTTCGTTCTTTCTCATAATTATTGTCAAAATTCGCATTGCATTTTACGTTTTATTTACTTTTCTGCTGAATTTGATCCATAATTTTATTTCTTAGAATTTCTACTTCATCTTCGTAATCAGCGACCTTCAAAACCTCCAAGTACCAAAGATTAACAACGGTATTACTGCCTTTCATTTTATATTCGTTCAAAACAAAATCACTTATTTATGTACTATGGTACATAAAGGTCAGTAGTACCCGATTAGGTGAGAAGAAAGTGTTTGGTTTTCTCTGTTACTTTCACAGTTTTTCTTAAGAGTAGCAAATGAGGTTGTAAGCGTTGTACCATTTTTATCAGTATGTTAAAAAATTGAACTTTCAGAACGCTGCGCAAACATTGAAAGTAATTGCATTTACTAGTAGTTTTAGATATTATACGCGCACATTTTCCTTAGCCCCGGCAAACGTATCCCACTCCGTTGCCCATATTAGTTGAATAAAGAATAAATTTAGCAACGAGCTTGTAGACAAAATCTGATAACCGGAGATGTTCGCTACCGTGTAATAGAAAATAGTTTTATGGAAAAACAAACTACAAATGTTATACAAAATTCCTTTCGTCAAAATAAGCGAACCCCTCACTCTTCTCGCAACTAGCGAAGCGAGGGCTCAAGAAAACATGCGAGGATAATACATTTTTTCTAAAAATATTCGGTGGGTTTCACCGAATTGTACCGAATCGTTATTGTGAGATTAGGGCAGAGAATGCATTGATATTACCCACGTAAGATTTCTTGAGCTCTCATTTCTCTAGAAGCGAGGGGAGAGGAGAGTTTGATTATTTTATTGATAGGACTATAATATGAAATTTGTTGCTCGTTTTTCGATGCAAACCATTTTCTATTAGACATGAGCAAACACTTCTGGTTATCAAGAGTTTGTCAACAAAACTTGTTGCTATAATTTATTCTGAATTCAACTAATGTTAGTAAAGGAGTGGGGGCAGGTATTCCAGAGCTCAAGAAAACGTGCACGTATAATATCAAGTGCGTGCATGTCATTAAACTAGCGATTTTACTTTTTTACTGTTCAAATGGGGCGTGTGTGATATTATGGGATATCATTTTGATGCTTCACTTTTGTATATTTATTTATATAAACCATGGGTCCAGAACCAACAATTTATCAAAAATATGTACTTTTAATTAATGGGAAGATCCTCAATTCGTAAAGAGCAAGGTTGCCACCTCTCCGGGTCTGACCCGGGTTTCATAGACAACCTCCGGGCTCCGGGTTACTGTTGAAAATCTCCGGGTCAGAGAGTATATCCGGGCTCCGGATTATATACAAAATGTAATACCTTTTTTCACTTTTTAAAAAAGTGTTTAATCTGTGTTAAATAATTTTATTTTATCGAATGATTTCATATAAATTTCAATAAATCACAGAAAATGCAGACAATTATTGTTTTTTTTTTCTGCAAGGGTTGTTAGATGTCAGTGATATATGCATACGAAAACATCTGTAATTTTCAGTATTTGTTCTTAAATCATCCATTCGAATCAGCCAATCATGGATACTTACGGATTTCGGCTCGACCGTTTTTAGCGCGTGGTCAAAACATGTTAGAATTTCATTTGGCGCCATCTGTAGTAGATGTATTGACTAGAGTCAAATCTAGGAATTTTTACATTCTCGGTTTTCTGTTTGTTATAGTATGGCGGTCGTAGTATTGGGTTTCCAAATTTAATTGCCTTGTTTCTTATGCTCCATTAGTAATATTTCATTTGAATATTTATTTTTGACACAAATCATTTGATCTTTGTAATATAAGGTAAGGGTTATTTTAAATATATTTTAGTGTAAGATATAAATATATAAAGTACATATATACCTGTTATTTCGAATCTGTTATGAAAAATTTCTTAGAAAAAAAGTATTGAATTTCACTGAAATATCGTTTTACTAATTTATCATTATATTTATTTTACATTGTTCACGCAACCATGCACATTGAATATTCTCAAATCATTATTGTTAGTACTGCACCTTCATCCCCCCC